TCAAAAGGTCCGAATTGGAAGTCTATGTCATGGATATTTCTGGGTATTGTGCGAGAAGTTCGAAATTGAGATGTCACCCGTTGGCAAGACAATCCAAGACGAAATCCGTCAACGTCAAAAGGCTATGTTTTGGGCTGATAGCATTCGATTTCCTCCTGTTAAACTCCATAATATTGGCCCACAAGGGAAAGTAGCATCTCAACAAGAACAAACTCCCAGTTATGCTGGAGCCGACTCTTTGTCAACCTTTGATGACCGATTTCAATTGGTCAAACTTATCTCCTTATCATATGCAGCATCTCTAAATTCTCCTCCAAGCAGCCCCCCAACATCTCCTGGCCGAAGCTTTACCCATCCAATACTTAGTGCAGATGCGCCTTCGTCGGCACGAGATACTATCATACCGGAAAGAATCAAGGAAGAAATGATGTCAGAATGGAATAAGGAGTCTGTGATTGCCGTTGCGCAGGAAACTAGCAAGACTGCCTCAATTAGTGGATCTCGTGCAGGTACAATGACCACTGGCCATCGTAATTTCCTTACTATTAATGGACTCGGTAATGGTAGTAACAGTGGAACAGCATCTCCTACTGGTGCTCAAAATCTGAAAAGTGGAGCTAATTCGACATATGGAACCGCTAGCGGGATTGGTGCCATGCACAAACTGAGAAAAGGTAGTGGGCATTCACATGCGCCTGCTAGTGAATCAAGCCGTGGGTCAGTAACGAGGGTTGATCAATTAAAGCGAGTACTCTCGGGTCAGACAGCACCTTTACCAGCTACAAGGGCCGGCGCGCCACAGAGTGATGCAAGTAGTGAGAGCATGGTTAGTTATGACTTCTCAGCTTCAGAGATATCTATCAACACGTACAACCAGCAGAATAGTTCGGGTGTAGAACGATCTGCTTCTATGCGTTCGACCGGACGATCGAGATCGAAATCACGAGATAGAGCAGATGCAGCACATGATGGCACAACAGTTCCTCCTGTTCCACCACTTCCATCCTCGCTTGTGGGTGAAAATATATCCATTCAGGACCAAGCGCAAAATCATTCGCCTGAAGCATTTCGAACCGGTCGAAGCACAAAAAGAAGCACAAAGAGTAGAGCCGGTGGATACTCAAGTATGCCATGGGGTGAAGAAAATGGAAAGGTGGTAGATCTCCAAGATCTACTGAGTAGTATTGAGATTGGTGGTGATGAAAAAGGGAATGTTGGTATGCCACCTTATTGAGGCGTCAATTTTCAGGGTTTCTGGAGACACAGCGCGTTTGTTATATTGAAACAAGAGATAGAGTTGCATATAATTCATAGTACAGATCTGTATTACTATACCTCATTTTGTAAGCATGGAGTTTTGGTTGACAACACTTGTGGAATATCTACTGCTAGGTTGAGTCATAGCGATTGATTTTGGGGGGAAAAAGGCACATACGTCTTGCAGCAAATAATAATAAAGAAAATGAAGATGAGTTTTCGTTGTCGTTGTCGTTGTCATAATCACATGTTACATGCTATGTGCAGGTCTTCGGTGGTGCAGACTACTGTTTGATAGTGATAACTTTGTGGTTTTTGAATTGCTGAGCAGGAACGCATTCGAACTTTCATATCTTTCATATCTTTCATATCAATTTCTAATCTAATAGTACAAATTAGTGTGCACAGTAATCATTCTACTACGACTACTATTACTACCTTTTCGTTTAATTTTGTTAGTTTTAAAATGTAGCTTTACGTCACGAGCAGGACACTTCTCAATTATCAAATTAATAACAAATTTTATTAGTCAATTGTTTGATATCCAAAAAAATCTTTTATGATTCAATTTGTAATGATTCATTGTATCAGATTTCGAAGTATCTGAATCAATATTCTAAGAGATGTTGCCAAGTCAATTTTCGCAGTTTCCCGCCAGTCTATGAGCCCACAGGTGGTGCATCACAATTTGGTCAGTAATGAGGTTTTTACAATATGCGCGAGGCAGTCCGAGAAAATTCTCGAACCTGTATAAAAATATTTGCCCATATTTACTGATGAAGCACGTCTTCAATCGATCTTTTGGGGTGATATTTTTTCTTGCGGTTGTCTGCACGTATGGTTTTATTAAGTTCATACTAACCCCTTCCACGATCCCTTGGAAACCACTCAATGAAACCTGCGTTCAAGGTCGGTGCCTCTACCTTTCCGTGTAACTTGGACAATTTTACCTTTCGAAGCTTATTCCTTGTCCGCCTGCTGCTCACTGGTGCAATTCTTGCACACTGGATGGTCATAAGACCAGAAACATGCCTTTTCAAGCCTCTCGGCAAGAGTTCCTGTTGCAAAAACTCACAAATATAGCTAATATGAGTCCTTCGTAGCGAGAGATCGGGCCGATTCCTTCCAGTCCTATTGCTGTTGTATCGAATGTTTGCAGCTTTGATACATTTCCACCGAAATGACGCAAGTCCTTCTTTTTGTCAAATGGCAAATAAACCATTTTACTAGTATTAGATACGGAAAGGACTTTGCTAGAAGTAACTTGCATTACATTTTAGTGAATTGACTTCAGGGTATTAGTGGTCAAAGATTGATTATTTGGCAAGCCGAAAATCAAAGGCGTGTTGGAACATATTGTTATGCCCCCCCTAGAATAAGCGAGCCAACGAGCTAGCGCTCATAACATCGTACAGGACTCACCACGTACGGCTCCAAGGCAAGATTCCTTGATTTTGCTTTTGCCTGGAACTTATCAAATGGATAAGCAAAGGTGCAGTATAATCCGAAAGGAAGAACTGGAAAGTTGTAAAGTGTAGCAGCAGCGAGAAAATATATAAGAGGCCAATGGCAGTAGCATATCGTTATTCAACAAGCAGTTACTTCTTTAAAATCAACTCGAGAGTCTTCAGATAATCCATCCATCTCAAACAGTTGAAGATCCGTTCTTGCAACATTTTTACCAAAATGTCGAGTAATAATCCTGCATATCAGTGAGTATAAGATCATCTCACAAAACCTGCTCATAACTCACGAACTGATCTAGAGCTCAAACCCCCAGCGGATCTGGCCAAAACCCTCAATACACTCAATATCAGCAACCACAAAGTTATCAGCAACACTCTCAAGGATATCAACAATCCACCCACCAAGAACAACCGTACCAGCAAGATCCATATACCCAATCCTATTCTGCACAGCCTCAAACCCAACAACTCGCCTATCAAAGTCCCTCTTACCAAAGTGGTCAATACCAGCAAAGCACCTATCAGAACACTTCAACTATGTGGGCTCCACAACACAACCAGCAACAAGAGTTCCAGACACAGTATCAAACCTTGCAGCCTGCACAGCTTACACAACATTCGCTCCAGAGTCTGCCTCCCCCTGGAAGAGACAATGTGAATGTGTATTTGCGACATGACCAAAACTTCGAGAGAGTACCGCAAGGATTGGAAACGAGACGTGAAGCGGAGCTCCAAGAATGGGAAAGAAGATGGAATGCTGCGGGACGCAGATGAATGAGGCTAGTGCTGGGGTTTTTTTCGGGGGTTTGAGTTTGTCGCTGGGTGTACGGGAATGGTGAATACAATTTGGGATGAGGTATTCATAATGATCGATGGCTTGAATAATGAGGGGTGTAATTTGACATCGAATGTCGCGCGGGGAAAGAAATGTGTTGAAAGGTCGTTGTGTTTATGTGCGGATTCTGGGAAGTGTGGACAATATAGTTTAATTCATTTGTGTTCAAATCATCACTGCCCCCAATGATCCGCATTGATCGTGGCTATACAAGCCCCCAAGCCATGATAATTGAGATTAAACATGCCGTATGAGTGTACTGTGGCATGTTATCATTTGGGGACTTTAATTATGGGTCATTTTATGATAAGAAATGACAAGTAATCGATCATGGCACTGTGTATCTCACATGGAGACTGGAGTTGGTACTTTCCGGAAGGATTTTTCTTCGGTGGTGCTCCCTTGCGAGGTCCTCCAGCAGGACAAAAAGCCTACAGAAAGGAATGTACAGGACTTGAAGAGACAGGACTTTCTAAGCTTGAGTCAAGCTTCTGATTAATTCTAGCATCGTCAAGTCCTTTCAAGGCATTTTAAGGTACGTGATCTGGATCTAAAAATACATGTGCGGTCTCAACCCGGCACTCTTAACGAACTCTATTTTTAGAAATGTTCACTTCACGACTTTGCACATAACCTCATAGTGGAAAACGCGGAGATATCGAATAGAACCCTATGAGAGTTTAGTTGGTCCTGTTATCTTACTGTTAGAAATCTAGAAATCTTGTTCAAAAGAATACACTTGGATAGCTATGTGGGTTTAATTCTACATTTTCACATCTTGAAAGATGGCTTCGGGGACTTGACATCATTGACAATTCAATCATATCGTCCTCCATCTCTTCCTTCGTGAGAGTTAACAATATAACGGCTATTTTGAAATGGATTCGAAAACATCCGATCGTTGCCTTCATATGCTAAGATTCGGTATTGAGAATCTATGTAAGACTCATTTCGTCCTTTCTTGAGGAAGCTTAGCATGATTCTTCTCAGATCTTGCAATGAATTTATTTTTATTGCGTGAACGTTAATTTTGGAGAGATGTGAGCTTGAATTGCGTTATTCAAATGTTCATTAAGTGCAATGCTAGATAAGCTAGCTGATATGATGAAGTTATTAGAAAAGTATTTTATCGATCCATTGGACCCGCCCAATAAACAACAAACCAGCTTGATGATAAAGTAGAAGGGACAGAGAACCTCAATGCTCATTAGCCCAAAAAGACAAGGTAAAAAAGCAGCTCGGCCCTTCCTCAGATCCGGATTAAAAAGAAATCCTCATTAAACCCCGCAGACCCTTTGAAGGTGGCCATTCATTGAAGAAACCAACTTTCTCGCTCCTTCATAACGACAAGCACCTTGATGGCCATTCCAGAAAGGAAACCCCCCATGCCAATTCCTCTCAAAGGAAATTGGAAGAATAAAACGGCTTATTAAGAGATGTCCTCAGAATTCAGTGCTTTTCAGAAGCTCAGGCACTGATTGTGATCGACTATGCTTAGTTCTGTTTGGTAATCCGCCAATTTTTCGTGGTGCTTTTGTAATTCTGCTAGCGGCTCTTGGCTGCTTAGCATTTTCCGCCATTGAATTTCTTCGATTTCGCTTCTGTCTAAAAATTACAGCACCATGCATATTCTCTAGATGTGCATTGCGGTTTCCTACCCTTGTAAATGTCGCTTTGCAGTCCCTCATTTTGCAAACAACCCGATCCTTAAGTGTTATCTTATGCCTTTCTTTCTCATGTCGTCTTAAATTGCCCAATTTCCATTGGTCTGCTCCGCCCGGCTCATAATTACAGCCTGGGTGAGGACACTTTATGACCTTGGTGGCAGATTTCGGGGATGGAGTGTCGTAATTGGATGCCCTTGCTTGTTCCTCTTCTATTTGCAATTGGGTTTCGGGTATGGTAACGAAATTAAAATTCTTATTAGATCCTCTACAAAGACTAGTAAGCACAAATTCTTCGAGAAGGGATATGGTACCTACCGTACGTGTTCCGCGGACCACGGAGATGCATATTTTTCTTCGTAAGTTCCAAAGAGACTTGGAGCGTATTGATATTCAGTCTCCATGCCCGGAGTAAAAGCAGCAGCGCCGGTCGTCGCACACTTTTCCGCTCTGGGTGTGATACTTTTCAAGCAGTCAACTCCACATTGAATTGTTGATTGCAGGTATTGAGCAGCATCGTTAGTGTGTAAGTTGTTTGAAAGTCTTTGATCAATATCTGTGACACTTTGTGCCACATATGCGGTTAAAGGATCATTAAGAACTCCCATCTCCCCTGACTCGAGAATGTTTTCATTGAAATCAGAAAGACATGAAACTTGCATATGCTGATCTCTGCAAAAATTATCGAGCTCATATCGAACAGTCTCAAGGCCAAGCCAGTTGGAATCATTTGGTTGTTTCGATTGCAGACTGCAACTTTGGTCGAAGTACCTTTCGTGACTAAATTCTGATGGGCTTACTAGCTGCCCAGCTTTACTGAAAAATGTATTCTCAAACCCTAACCGTTCGTCTCCTGAAAAAAGACTTCTCGGGCTGGTTGCAGAAGTATAGTCGGATTGGGGAGCTCTTGGGCCATAGCCCGAATCGCTTGGAAATGTTTCACCGCTAGCGTTCGTACTGGCAGTATCTGGCGATGAAATCTGAGGCGAATCTTCAAATAGTCGCCCTTGACGTTGAATGGCATCAAGGTTACTTTCGAACCTTCTCACGTCCGTCTGAATCGCAGGGCACATTGATCCACGAAACCTGGGAGATTGGAGAGGCATTGGAATCGAAGAATCTGGCGACAGACACGCTGCATCCATCTGGATTCGTATCTCAGCGGTTATATCGACCATTTCAGCCTCTTCAGAGTTACCAGAGCCAAGAGTATCGGATAGGTAATGGCCAGCACTGGGAGTTGACTCTTGAGTTCCAATGTACCATTGGGTCCTATAGCCAACTTGATCACCATTGACGCATGGAAACTCTGTAATGAATGTCGAGCCGGCTTCAGGTGTGTCAAGAGATTGGAAACGGCCGTTGGATGCGGAGCTTGGAGACACGATGGCTCGTAAAGTAGACGATATTCGCTTTTGATTGTTAAGAAAGCTATGGCCTGCGACTGGGGTTGACTGATCATGATTCAGACTATCTTCTGAAAGTTCTGGCAACCGGCTGCTATCTGGAAGTTCATGAAAATTACTCTCCCCGGAGAGTTCTGTCAGAAAATTGCCCTTTGCGCTCTCTTGGTAGTTCTTAAGACTGGGAGATATGTATTCACCATCAGACGAGAATAAGCTTTGAGGTGATAGTGCTGATTCCTTTCTGCTGCCATTTATAATGGAATCTCGATGAGGTAGTGCTGAATCGGTCCGAAGGTACTCCGTCATATTCATCCTGTGAGAACACTCACAAGAATGTGGTGATCCGGTACCTACCACCTCGTTTCGACTATCTGTGGAAATTCGAAGGGAATTTGGTATTCTAAACATGGTGAATGTCTTCTTTTCAGTTGTTTTCTTTTTTTGTTTGGAACTTCTGCACCACACCCGCCTGAAATCAGACTTCTCAAGCTTTTCTATCTTGGTCCAATGAAGGCAAAGGCGATGGTGGAAGATGCGAAAGTGCATGAGCCTTTGAGTCTTGATCTTCAAAGCTTTGCTTGGTAGTGAAGACTTAATTTCTCATGAGTGTTAAGCGAGTAATTTAGAATGTTTTCAATGAAGGAAGGGACTAAAACAAAGTTAGCTTAAACGTTCAAGGCTGCGTCAATCAAATGGTTAGGATGAAATCATACCGAAGTTTTGATCTATGTGTTTGGTATTGATCGGATTCTTGGTGTGATATTGGTTTCGACGTTCGAATATCGGGAGGTTTTGGAGACAGTATTTCCAGTGGGTATTGGATAAGGGGGCATCAACGTTCTCAGTCAAGGAAGTGAGAGAACTGTTATGATTTTTTGAGATAGACTGAGACCTTCTGATAATCTGGGATGGAAAAGGGAATCAATTTAATCCCATGTTGTGAGAATGAGTCTGCTTTGCTTTGGCTACTGTGCGGTACAATACGCTCTAACCACTCGCAAGACACTTTATATATCAATAGCTGCATGTTTTCTAAATCAAGGAAATCTGCTCGCTGCAGCATAAGGAATAAACCGTAACATGTTGTCGTGGTTTGTCGTTCAAGCCAGCTGCATAGTCCTTCGAATTGAACCTTGATTGTACGTTATGGCGGCAGGTGCATTTGTTGAAGGGTGTTCGATTGGCACGGAGAATCTAATAGATTGAGAAAGTAAATTCCTTAGATGATTATCAGTCCTTATTTTCATTGCAATAAGTGGTGCTATTACCTCAATAACTGTCCGCCTCGTTTGCCTTACGGCAAGTGAGTGGATGTGAGAAGTTAGAGGCATGATCAACGAGCGCGTAGAGCCGGAGGACAGTGTAAATTCCTCTTCGGAAACGTACTCGGCGATGGACAAGCACGGCTCCTTTCTACCAGAAAGGTCTAGGTTTGTGTAATGATGCAGAAGATCTGATGATGTGAAGAGCGTTGTAGACATCAACCTTATCCCATGCAAGGATCTTCTCTAGAAAGGAATGAGAAGGACTTCTTAGTCCGTATCATAATGTGAAAGACAAGTGAGAAAGGCTCCAGAAGAAGGACTGACCATGCGCGGAAGTCTTGGGCGTGAAAAAGAGCTTAAGATTTTTAAGTTATAAGAGTCGGTTTTTTTTTCTCAAAGATCCGGAGCAGAGTCTAAATGATATACTTCATATTCATAACCAGCCCCCATCCCTATCTCACCAATTGATCCTTAAGCCCCCAATAAATGCCGTATTTATCAGAGATATGCTGCAACTCAAAGCTTCTCACGCAATCTGGCGCTGATTATGGGGGCTGAGAGAAAAACTACAGGTCTTGAGATGCGGGAGCCGTGGGAACTTTGGGGTCGATCAGCTGTATCAATTTACCAATCTGACACGCATAATTCTGGGTAACATTCGCTTCGAATCAATAGATTCCATATTTGGAAGCTGCATCGAAAAGGACTGAATGCTTTTCGCAGGACTAATAAATGTATATGATTCTTGGCTATTTTAAGGAATACGACTTCTATCTGTTAACATTCATCGAGGTCAGTTATTAAAACATGAGTTTTTGCGGCTATTGCGACTATTGAAATACCACGAGCAACTTACTGCAACGTCCCCCTCCTTCAATCCAACCCCGCATTCTACCGTCCACAGCGTTTCATCTGATTTTAGAAAGCGCTTAAGTACAATCTATAATCCTTGAGCTCCACTCCCCGCAACTCAAGTCAAGTACGATTCTTTTCATGTGAAGAACGATAACAAATTGATTAGATCTATTTCTTATTGTCGTTATAATGATTCATTCATGTTTAGCGCGGGACTACCGAGTTATTAGCTCATCAAATCGAACTGTTTGGAGCCGTACCAATTGCTGGAAAGCTAGAACTACCGTGCGAATAGGAATAGGAAATTGCGACCACTGCAATTACTATAACCAATGATCAACTTTCCAAGAACAACACACCAAAGACGATTCCGTACCTCCCAAGGTTGAGAGGCTCAATATCCGCGGGGAACATTCGGATGATCGTGATGTGCCACATACCTGGTATATGGCGGCCATTGAACAAATCATAGGTTACAGGAACCGTAGAAAGTACTTGAATGTGATTGATTTTCTACTGACATGGAATTATCCAGGTTACAGGATCAATGTACATTGGCACGACGTTCCAAATTTTCGATTAGATTGATCCATAACTCTTCAAATATCATTTATCGGGATTCTGCATATTAAGGACGCGGCTCTTTACCTTTTTCTGGTTTCCAAAGCCTGAAATTTATTTTAATAATGACAGAATCATAAGAGAACTGAATCCTTCAGCTTTGAAATATTCTTGAAGCGTTCTGACTGATTTTCGTAAGCTTAGCTTTGGTTTGAGTCTGTTTTGATTTGAGCTAGTATGAGTGGAATTGATATGCTAAAGTTGAAGTGAAAAGCGATTGTGAAGCTATTCGATGTGACAACCTTAAGAATTTCCAATTTCAATTCGCGCTTCCTTGATTATAACAAGAATACAGAAAAATTGTCTTTGCCCATAAGTATTCCGACGTAGACCTAGCAATCGAGCCATCTTCAGCTCCGGGACAACTTTAGGCCCCGCATTTACAAGATTGATTCGGGCATCAACATAAATTGGGAGAAACAGGGCAATAGAATCCGAAATGCTTTAGATCTGCCTCGCAAGCTTATCGTGGTTCGCCATCAATATATGCGAACCATAAAAAAACCTCGTCATCGTGTGGCTCGAGTCTGGTCTAATGATGAGTCAAAATCGTAGGTTTGTTTGCAAATGATAAAACTTTCGAGAATCATGTAAGAAAATATGGTTAAGATGATGGAACGATAATTGAATGAGGCTATAAAACAGTAAGAACTGGAAATATTCGACGAAAAATCACACGAAAGCAACGCAGTCTAGAGAAACAAATATTAAGTACCCGCTGATGTCTTCCAAATACACGCTTCTGATCGAAGCTTATTTCCATTTATAGCATTGCAATTTCATTCCAAGATTGGTCTGGGTCGTCCCCATCAACACTAAAAACAAAAGTCAGAGATCGACTTCAATATTTTGCTTCTCAAAGACGATTCTCACATTGTAGGACATTACTTATTCAATGATTGGTTGCTGATACTGTGAAGTCGGCCTGTTGAATGTATTGATTGGCGCGCACTCATTGCAGAACAAAAGATTAAAGGATCTTGTTACCGCGAGGAGCAGGGCCAAGGATAGGTACTGCTAGGTACGACTCCAAGTTATAGTTATCTCCCATACATCCGCGATTTGCAATATGATGACCATGCGGCTGGTTGGACGAATTCACCGGTTCAACCCCAGAAGGCCTACTGGTATCGTTGTGGGAAGATGGTTGTTCATGCTCGGCTGAGTCGCCATTGGGAAGTGCAGGCCAATCATGGTCCGAATAACAATCAGGTACATATGGCTTGGGCTCGAGATTTAGTCGTTGCATCAACCTCAGATAAGATCCTTCATCCAAACGTGAATCGTATGCTCGTGCCCCAGGACCCGTGGTCATAGTTTTAAGGCTCCTCGGCGAAGCGAAGAAAACATGAGGGATTCGGAAATTGGTTGGACCATCGCAGAGATACTCGATACCCCGAAACCAGTAGCGTGAGCGGTAATTTTCTGGGAATCTTGATCGTCCAGTGCTCCAGGGGCCATAGTAATGTCCGCAGGGGGAGAAGATCGACGGCCCAGAGGTAGTAGGACTGTGGAAGGTACCATGAGTCATCTAATCAGTATTCTGTTAGCCTTTACTAACCATCAACCAGTACTGAAAAGGTCTTTACTTGAACAAATGATAGCTTAGGTATGCCTGGCATAATCCCATTGGGCCCATAATGTTTTCCAATGATCACTACAGGGTGATTATGCCCCTCTTGCTTCAAAACACAACGTCCCTTGTTTCGACAAGGATGGCCATTGACATCAGACCACATACATTTCAAATCCCCCGCAAAGCTTGTACTTGGAAGGAACAGTATACAGCCAACTTCGATGTCCTGTGCCCGCACATTTTGGCGAGTTGTAGTCATACTAACGAAAGAGCAGAAGAAAAAAGATCAAGGCGTTGAGGCAGACAATAATAAGGAGAGGATTTTAAAAATTACGAAATAGAAATAAAATAGAGGATTAAAGTGATGAAGATCTTCCAGAGATGCTTGCTGAAAAGAAAGTGAATATGAGATTTCGAAGAGAAAGACTCAGGTTCTTATGAGTAAATGTGAGCTCCCTGTTGAAATGGAAAGATCGAAAAGGAACCAGTTTTCTCTGCCCAACTCGAAAACAGCAAATTCTAAGACGGTGGACTAAATTCCATCAAAGAAGAGTCTCACAAATTCTTCGGCACCTGATAATCTTACAGACACTTCCGTGAGACATTACGAGACCTTTAGCAACAGATGTTGGTGGAAAGACAGTAACAAAGAAAAGTTGTTCAAAATCTTAATGGGCTCTATAGCTGAGGCAGAATCTAGCCTTCATAGTTGTCTATATCAATATTTATTATCGATGTTCCAGACATTGGGCGACATCATGGTTGAGGGCAGTCCATCAATTTCCGTTTGACCTCAAAACCTGCTGTCAATGTATGTCATTCGATATCGCGTAAACACTAGCTTACTTCTCAAATTGAGTTCGGAAACCCTATTTCAGGTGAAGGAGATAGAATTGTAGGTTCAATTCGGTTTGAGTAGCGGAGAATGGTTTGATTTTTTTCCTGCTGCGAGGTGTGAAGCCTGAGCTTTAATGACTTATCCACAAAAGGAAAAGGCGTGCGGTGACAGCGGCCGCAAAGCGTTTCCACAATGCCACTTCCACTTATGCATAATTAAATGCTGTGTGCATTGATTCGCATGCACAACGAGTATAGATACAGTTATACTTCTATCTTACTAGGTCGTATACCCACAAATGGTCCCAATCCGATATAAGAGGCCTCGTAAGTTTTCTTCCACATAGAGGTCTAATGTAAGTAATGAGTTAAGTGATAATACTTGTGATCAAATTCAACCTTCATTTTGAATCATACCATTGGAAGCCCTGGGGTCCTTAATCTTACCCCCTTTCTTTATTTCGCCTACGCACAATCTAAACATTTCGATTTACATCTACATACCGGCACACGAAATCATTCGGAACACAGTTGTCAATTTTAGGATCGTCATCCATCAAGTGATATTCTTTTTGGCTGATAAATCCCAATTTTTCTCATCTTATACACTCTACTTTACGCAAGATAGAGAAATGCTAACGAAAGTGCCGGTTTCTCAGTAGACCGATCCATACGCCAATCAGAAACAGGTATCACGACAGATAGAGATTTAACGAAACTCCATGAAATAATACATATATCATCCATTGGCCATCAGCGTTACCTCTGTCTGTAGACAAGTGAAAAAAATACTCTTGACTTCTAACTAGATGTCTGATATTTCCATCCCTATTTAGGGAAATCAATTAAAGAGCATGCATGTATGAACCAGGAAGGTTAGTTCTTTGATTTGCTTGGCTCGAAGGCTAGAATTCCGGTCGAGATTTGAAAATAGCGACGGAAACAAGTACAGAATTACTAAAATACAGGAGCTTTTTGTGTGTGTTTATGGATAGGGACATACCGTAGTTGATTGAGGACAGGGATGAGAGTCTTTACGGTTGAGGTTTCTTCAACGCTAATATTTGACTATCGTCTTTAATATACCCTCTTCCTGTATAACTTCTTGTCTTGTCTTGTTTGACTAACTAGAGTCTCACGAAGTGATATTGATCACAGCTCACAAAACAAGGACCTATGAATACTGCCATTGCCGGGGCATTTCTCATGTAATCTCAGATTCTAGCGATCTCACACTACCAGCTGTCTTTCTCAATTCTTGATATTCACTATTGTTTGCGGAGTGAATCATACTGTTCCTTTGAAGCCAAACTTCAATCGGTTTCTGCTATTTATTGTGTTACTCAGCTCATAGATAACCACCTACCTCATACGATACTCCATAATTGCTCACTAATAAGCCCAAATTCCTGCGCAGCAACCATGAAGTCTAAAATCCACTGAGGATTACAATCAAATTCTAGAAGCAATGACACAGAAATACCAAGTCAATCCTACTAAGCAATTGTCAAGATGCAAGGAGGGTGGGATTTCAACAACTCAAGTAATTTTGTAAAAGCTACTGACATTTTAGCTATTGATGAATCCAAGAATCTTCAACCTTCCATTTAGTTTAAGTAAGTCATCTCACTACCAAGTCCCGCCGAATCGCACAATTTCGAATGCAAATGAATTACTTCACCTCGTTTCCTCTGAAACTGTTAGCTCAGACATCACGGTGAGAAGAGATATCCAGAATGTAATTCATATCTTTCAATTCTCTCTATTTGATAGCGTCTTCGCCCATCCGGAACTCGTCTGCACGAATGCATTAAAGATATCAATTGCAGATAATTTCATCTGCGAGAAATTTCGTGATTCCCAATTCCGCTCAATGAAATGAAGGAACCTGTTCTTATCGCTCATCTCTGGAGTTAAGAACCCCTTATGTATTGGTTTGAGAGAGTTTATTACTCATGAGTACTTCTTTCCATGTTTGTTTGTTGGCAATTCGGATTCATATTTCGCAGTCTCGGTATTGTAGATTGGCATGCTCTCAAATTGTAGGCCAAGTTCTTGAACATAACCTTGAGGTTTCCATGCTTCTCAGCACTTCTTGTAGAAAGCCCAAGAGGAATAAATGATGGCCGGAATACGAGTCATAGCCAGGCCATGATCGGTTCCCTTGGGTACAGCCACCGAATGGAAAGACATCCGACATGCTTAAATTTGTTCCCCGTATCACGTGTCTCGCTTACCTTACTTCGTCGACAGTTGGGGAAGATAACTTTTTTCTGAACGTCAGCACTTATACCGAAGAGCAAATATCAACTATATTATGATTAAACTTATAAATTGATACCAACCAACCTCAAATATGGTATGTGCAGCATTGTCCTGCCATATTTGAATCCTACTTTCTCCACTTTTTCTGATTGCCGCTTGGATAATTGGTTCTTACGTTTGCGAACAGTACTTTGAAATGATCAAGCACAAGAAACATCACTAGTAGGTTTTAAATCCTGAGGATGCAGATTCGAGATTACAGTGTAGTGTTCTATTCTTACTTCTCTCCCAAACTCCGGAACTTTTGAAACATAGGAAAGCCTTACAAGTAGATGAAACGGGGTATTTTTTGTAATGATCAGGGGGTCGGCGGCTAGAACCCAGCTGTCTGACCGATCCACCACGCTATCTTCCATCAACTCTAATCTTAATTTCTTTCAATACTACATTTGCATTTGTCATATGTCAGTATTTCTTTTTGTGCATTCATCCATAGCAACGTGTTGGGATATACGTCGCTGCTCGAAAACACGCTCGCTTCGTGCAAACTAGTTTGCCAACACAATCATCTGGTCTTAGGGAGCATTTCTCGGAATTGGAACCGATGTATTGATAATGTGAGTTGTGTGATTTTGGATTGAACGGGAAACGTCGAGGCTTGTTCGGAGAAATGGGGCAAAATTGCGGAGCAAAATAACGCTGTAATGTCAAATCACAAATCCATTGCGTTCGCTTCAAGCAAAGCGGTAGACTATTCATACATACCAACGGGGCTATGAACTCAGGTATTGCATGGTAAGCGTGGGGAAGTACATGGAATTACCTGTATCATAGTGCAGTTAATGTCCATGTGGAGCCGTATTCTTCATTTCGTAAAACGGGTGTGGAGTGCTAAATTGCGTCGCAAATTTTTAAGCAAGGCTTCTGGCTCGAAAGGCAGATTCTGTAGTCGGCTAGTGGTTTTCGTACATAGTGATTGACCTATGGGGATGATATGGAGAAATTGGCATAGAGATAGAGCCTTGGAGGAAGATCTGGATCATGACTTAGGCCCAGCAATGGTTGGAAGTGATGACAATTATCAACATGCTTTGTATAAGTACACGTGAGAAATTCGGGGCAAGAGATATCATTAGCAATTAGTCGAATCTAGCGGTCGAGACAAATGTTGACGTACCAAGACCAAGACACACACACAATTTGTCATTTCAAAACATATCAAACAATCCGGTCAGGCTTTGCGTTACACCTTGTACCTTCCAGATCTCATCAATCATTTCTCCGATAAGGCTTTCAGTGGCAGGCAGACAGAAATAAATCGATTGTGGGTGGGTTAACTACACATCATGACATCAGTTGAAAGTGAATCCTTCGTCCAGAGAGACCGTAGCTTCCAGGACAATCGCAATCAGTATATTCGAGATACCGATCGTCGGAGCTTGAGCAATAGCCCCGATTATAGTTCAAGAACCTACACCGCACAAACGTATAGCCCACCTGGTTATACATTATCAGGGTATACCTCGCCCACAAACACAGTCTTCAATGATGTTTTCTCTCACATCCACGATGAGGATCTCAATATATCAGAAGAAAGATGTCGAAATACTACAAGTGGTCAATATGATGCCACTATCGCTCAAAATAGCATTACTACCTCCTCAAAGTACAATGACTATTTGTGGCAAGGTACATCATACCCAAGCCTAAACTATAGCTCCGAGTCAATATACAATTCACAAATCGACCCAAGTCTTTGGAATTGTACCACCATGAGCACCGGACCAATCGCACCACTTCCCGTTGTTACAGAAGCACAAGGCATCCTCAATGAGCACCAATTCAAGCAGTGCTGGGATATTCCATCACTAGAAGCAGCAAACTCTGTGCAAATCAATGAATACGCCGGAGTAACCTTCCCATCATGCATAGTCGGCCAAGCTAGTATAGCAAGAACAGCAAGTGTCAATTCATTCCTGTCAGCCTCGTCAGATTTTAGAACAGAACGGGAACGCGCCTCACCATTCTTCGACATGACTGAGTCTATGACGATTAGGTCTCAGTCCCCAGGCGAAGAATCTTATAGATCTGAGTCAACTTCTGGATCACCTCCACCAAGCATCGCAGAGAAATCATCGATTCGCGCAAGGAAACGGAGGCTTCAAGAGAGGAATGATCCGAATCATGTAAACCGTCGTGGAGATACCGGAAGGAGGAAGTTGGATCGATACTTTTGCACTCGGTGTAATGCTTTCCCCAAAGGCTGGAAGCTACCCGAAGACTTGCGAAAACATAATCAAGGACATCATACTGAAATTGGATTTTACTGCGCCTCTGGAGTGGATGAGAACTGTGCCTATTGGAGTTCTCAGGAGTCGAGATACATTGACCATCTGAAGGTAGAGCATGCTAGCTCACGCATATCACAGGAGATTGTCCGAAATTATAACACCATAAACGGCATTACGCTCGATGGTAGTTACATGTGCAGGATACCAGGTTGTGAGAAGGTTTATAAAAGAGCAGAGCGAGGTCGTCGAGACAAGCATGAAGAAAGGAAGGCCGCACACGTTTTTAAGAGGGGACTGGGAAGAAGCGTAGATCCAGCCCATCTATTCCCAAATAGTCATGTGGGATGCAGGAATGATGAGACGGAAAGACATGTTGATATAGGACAGTGCAATTTTGCTCATTCCGGTCCAGCCAGGGAATCTTGGGGTGTCAGCCAGAGTAACCGTCAATTTAAATAAGGTGATAGAAACATCGCTCCAGTTGAAAATAATGAAGAACTAGGTTGTATATCTATAGCATACAGATAATATGAGATAATGCCAGTAATCAAAGCCAATCTCTTTGAGTTTTGTGAAATAAAAGATTTTGATGACAAGAGTGAATGATTTTAAGATGATATCATATCCTTTGTGGAGGAAGAATAGATAAATAAATGTCAAAATGTGACTGCCTAGAATAGCCACCTGGTTCCCTTGTTGGACCCTCTGGTCGAGGCGCCTGAACAACGCCCACCTAGACAGAAATGGCGGTGCACCAGACCACCCAAACATGACAATACTTTGAAACCATTGCTATTTAGATGTCAAATTATAAAAACGATATTAAACCAGAGATACAAAGATTCAAATATATAACAAGTAGAGAATCTTCAAAAACATCCGCTCATTTTGATCTCAACTCAATATTTTCCTCCCTAGCAGGAAGTTATGTCTCGAGCCAAAAGAGAAGTGTCTGGTCCAAGTCACCATCTGCTACCAGTACTAGAAACGACGCCGCGACCCACAGAAGCGCAAGCGTCGGAGACCACAAAGACAAGGCACCACGAGCAGGCTCCTACCATTCCAGAAAATCGGCAAGTTCTCTAAAAGAATATGATGAAGTTGATAATGAGCCAAGTCCAGGCGAGCCCAAAGCCTTGAGTAAGGGTTCCGCCGATGGATCTTTACATGGTAGACCCTCTCGAAGCAATACTTCAACTCTCGATCGTCACAGTTTGAAGAGCAACTTGAGCATATACAACCCTGACAGAGGTGGCAAAGGTACTAGCGCCCCTGCTCCTTCAGATCATGGACCAGCGGAGCGTGCTCAAACAAGTTATGGGAGATGCGACGATAATAATCCGCCCTATTTTTATGAGAATAAAACAAGGCAATCTAATACTTCAGTATTAATAGACCGTACAACTAGTAATAGAAGAGCTAGTAGATATACTAATATTGCTATTTTCATATATAACTATATTGTATTAGAATATGCTCTATTGAGTTGTAGGGATATTGTCGAGGATTGGTTTTGTATATATAAGAATGAAACAAAGCAATCTGATAATTCAACATCAACAGATCGCACAACCCATAATAGAAAAACTAATAGATACATTAGCACTACTACTCTTTCCAAATATACTACATTAGAGCATACTCTATCAAATTATAGAGATACTATCGAGAATCAGCCTTGTGTATATAAGAATAAAACAAAGCAATCTAATATTTCAGCATCGACAGGCCGCACAATTCGTGGTAGAAGAAAGATCCCGTAGGTCATAGGGTATGCGAACACAAGTTTTGAAACCGAGTCCGGCTCACGGATTAGTCCTTCGTCGGTAGTGGAAACTGAAAATACACTAAATGTTATTGACCATTGGTCATCTTGAATCTTATCAAAAGCATTATTTTTTAAATAAGGACTGAGAGAGACAATAGAGGTGTTGAAATTATCAAGAGGTGGCCAAACCCAACCTGTTTCTTCGCCGACGCAGAAGTTGGCATCCAAAGAACATAGGCTATGTGTGCTTAGACTCAGGATGTGTAGTCGTCAGAGCATTGGGATTAGAATGAGAAGATTAAAGGTAAAGATAATGAAGTACGTAAAAGATAATTTTGGGCGTTTGGGTAGCAACTGAATTTTTCTCGTCACTCTTTTCTGGTTCTTCTAACGGTGTTGTGCTAAGTGCTTGGTTTTCACCCGGCGATAGCATTTCGCTTCCATGCAAATAATTTATGCGGCCCATAGCTGACGATCCGCAATGGAATGAACAAAGATCATTGTGAAGATGTAATTGTGGAAGGAATCCATTATGTTGTGAACTGTGAATTGGCCAAATGATTTCATATTAACCGGACTTTGAAACGCGTACATCTATCTCTGTGTAGCATCGAGAAATACAGAATATTTGAACGACCATGTGAAGCGGAAGGATTGCTACTCAAAACCGAGAATCCGAATTTCGATTCGGCATACTATTCATTGAAAATGATGGTAGCAACCATAAATAGACACTGCCGATAAATGAACCAATATATATGTATATCATGCCCAAGGGTCACTTGAACCATAGACAAGAGCTGAACATGAAGTCAATATCAAATTTAGCATGTGAATGACAACCAGAGGCTGTAGAGGCGTACACATTATTTATAAATACATAAGATTGGCAGCATAACGTAGAATGTCATAAGAACGTTTGGAGTGCTTCGCGATCGCAATTCCATGCGGATTTTGGACATATTCCTACGTTATACATAACGCTCATGCTGACAATTCAGTTCCGTGTTGTGTTTTATACACGCAATCAGCAACACAGTACAGCCTTTTACAGACTCATAGTACCTTGTGCTATATTGCAAACTCTTCTCTGTTCCACACCTCCACAAATAGTTGACCATATGTATCGTTTTGTAGCATTCTCCCCATTGTACCCCTCACTCATCCCTCTTTGCCAACTCAATCCGTCTTTGCCTATTCTCCCGCGCTGCTGTTCTCGTCGGTCCCCATCTAGCTTTTACGGCTTCCAACTTCTCTCTTTCCAAATCTCTCTTCTCTGCCGATGCTTCTGTAATCATGCCAATAAATATCGACGAGCAATTGAACTTCTTAGCCAATTGTACTCTGGTCCATTTTTCCGGGTCCTCGGCCCTCAACCTCCTGATCTCTGCAACATCCTTTTCGCTCAAATGATGCCTCTCATACTTCAGCTGCTTCGGGTTGACTGGAGGTGGTAATCGATGTGAGAGAGCGTTGAGTCGTTCTTGGGTGATTGCTAAAAGCTTTCTTCTCTTGTCGTCTTTGGGGAGGAATTTTAGAGGGGTGTGGAAAACGGATGGAGAAGAGGATGGCGGATTGAAAATGATGTGATCTTGTGGCGCGCCATTTGATGGGACAAAATTTGGGTCTGGTTTGACATTTAAACGTTGCTTAGAACGTCTGTAAGAGGATTCATGTCGACGGGCCGTGGCGTTCAAAGACAATAGGCATTGAGGTTTTGCAGAGAAGAGGTTGGCAACAGGCCGGCGTAATATCCTGAGATCCATTGTTGTATGAGTGTTTGGTTTAAAGGTAAAAACTCAATAAATCAATAGGTATCCATCACCATCTCAACTCGCCTACAAACTTCTCACCCTACAGTGGTTGATGGGATAAGTCTTGTAAGCCCCATGTTTGATAAAACTTGCTGTTTTACCGTATTCCAATGCTGCTTTTACTAATTTTACTAGACATTCAGCCATCCACCAAAATTTCGAATCTTGAAACCTTTTATTCAAATTTTCAATTCTTATGATTTTGAAGCTTTTAAAGCTTCCTATAGGCTCTAGATAGACTTAAAGTAGTATCTCTGAAAAGAAAAGTATGAATTTTGATAAATTCAACTGATTTTGCTAGGGGTAGAACAAATTTACAATACTTTCACCACCTAGAATTCACCATATAAATATTCAACCAGCGCGATGATATGATTGGTCTAAGCGATAAAAATGGGGAAAAGCTCGATCACTTTTTGGTGTGTTTTACAATACTTACGCCGTCAACCTCTGTATATTTTCCGAGGTGCTGCTAGTTTGAATACCAGAAAGACAAGGCAGATTGTACTAATCCAGCAATTGCTTTGTTTTTTATCACAACTTACAAGCCTCGCGACAAGGCTCTTTATCCCAAATCATTTTCATTTCGAGGTTTCCAACTTGTTGACTGTCAGGCGACTTGTTTTCATGAAATTAAAAAATGGCTTAACGATGTTGGTGATCATGAATGATTGACCAACAATTTTCCAATCTCCAACATCAACAAGGAATATCCAAAATCCTGCATTAAAAGCATTGAATTCGAAATCCTTCCCCTCCTGCTGAAAGGCACATACACATAATATAGCACACCTCATTCACAACTGGAATCACCACAAATCACAAGCAATCGCAAGGAACTCACCCCTCTTCTGTGACTATTGCCGCTTCCTGGGCCACCCATTCTTGCGAAGAAAAGAAAGGTAGGTGAGATCAACCTATGATTACATTTACAATTATCATTACAATTACAATTGTCTAGATTGTCATGCCTTTGAATGTGTCTATTGTTGGACGGTTATGATCTTATATACTCGTACAGGAATCCATATTATTTTTCTTTGCCAGCTCGATTTTTGATTTTGAATCTTGACTCTTCTTTGTTCTTATCATTTCAAGTTTTCTCTCTTTGGGCAATTCTGCTTTTCATTGTCCGGAACCAAGCTGATAATCCCCAAAGATAAACTGCACGCGTAAGTCTGCGACCCTCCAAAGTATTGGTTTGATTAAGGCGCATACGCCAACATCCATTATGATGCGATTAAGTTTTCACAGCGCATATCCATTTATTTGTTTGTTCATGTTCATCTAACACTTCGCAAATAGTATACAAGAGATTCGACTCGACTTACTTCCTCGATATCCTAACAACAAATCCGAAATCTCTCCATCTATCGTCATCATGAGCGCATCGGAATCTAGTACTTTACATGCGAACACGCCCGTCCCCACAGGCCAACAATCTATAACCACGTCAAAGGCCCCTCTACTAGGTGAGGGATTCAAAGTACCAACGAACCAAAAATTATCAAAACCCAGTGAAAACAGCGAGGTCGATGTGGATGCAAGTGATTCTGCGAGCGGAACCGCAAAGTCGGGAAAGCGAAGATTGTTTGGATTTGGGAAAAAGAAGAATGATGAAAAGGTAAAGAACAAAAAGAAGGATGATGGAACCCTTGCTGGCAATGCACCATTGATCCGCCCTCTCCAGCAGTCGCAGATGACGAACTCCCCTCCACGATCCAGCTATCCATACCAACACCCCTCATCACCACCAAGTCGAAAATTGTTCTCATCTTCCCCACGTGTAGTGTCACCTGCAGGTTCGCAAATCTTCGAGCGAGATGTGCAAGAAAGTGCTATTCAGCCCAATTCTCCTGCAATTCCGTCGCATATACAGACAGAGGATTATATTCCACCAGTCCTAGATGCGTCATCGCAAGCTATTACCAACAATGACATTGATCCGGATACAGTGGAAATCGTTATGCACTCTTCTCATCAGCCGGCAGTAATGTCAATGAGCGGTATTAGTAGTAGCGAACCTGGCGCATCAATGTGGACAGACGAATTGGTGGCCCACCCCGACAAGGACGATGCGGCATCCAACTACGGTGCTCTTGATAGTACAGACATCCGGAGATTAAGCTTCATCTCATTTGCAGATGTAGTGCAATCAGAGCACGCAGAACATGCTGGCAATAGAGACTCAATATATATTGCGGGACTCAGTGCGTTGTCATCGCCAGGTATATCACCAGGTGTGAACCGCTCACCTTCGCCTGTGCGATCACCAGTATCGTCGTTTGGATTCGGAACGTCACCCCCGACTAGTAAGTCAGCTTCCATGAAAGGTGTTGAGCTCTCGCCAGTTCGAAAACATACTGGTCTCGCCAGCCCGACTTCACTTCACTCTCCTACAAATGGCGGCGAATTGACCATAGAGACAATGTCACAGGCTGTGAAGAAGACCGGGAGCGGCGATCTTAGTGGCGGCCTTCGCAGTTTACCTTTAAGCCCAGTAAGCTCTGATGGCCCGGATACGCCATTCAGATAAGCCAGTCTTTGGACCCGAGGTTGAATTGATGTGTGATGGATGATGTTTACTATTCAGTTACTGCTTGCTGTACATCCAGCGAGCTTTGTAGGGTTGGAACAATTGCAGTTTGGGACAAGGGGAAGGGGTATGGATTGCTGTGTACATGAGATACTCGATTGAGCGAACAGTAACTGGCGTTCCGGATTAGGACTTATCTTATTCTTTATTTTATTTATTCATTCGACCTTGGGATGGGTAGTTTTTAACGACTGACGTGGAGCAATTTAAATTCTTAGTCGCACTTATCAGATGATTGATGATATGATATGCCGTCATGGTTGTCCGTGTGTTTCATTTCATGTTTTAAACTAAGGCTCCTCACTCT